ATAAGAACATTGATTAATATAATTATGGTTTAGTGTGTCCTCCGAACAGCTATGCTGGCTAATGCAGGAAATAATGCTAGCATCCCATCTGAAGGTAGTGTTAGATTTGAGCTCTCTAGATGTTGGCCATACAGAATAAGTTTGCATAGCATTTGAACGTAAGCAACTGTAAATACCCTCTTTAGTTTTCACATAGTTTCTTTGTGCCGATCAATACATGATGGTTCCCATTAATCTAAAATATCACATTTCCCTCCCCACTCTCCTCCAATAATAGAAGAACTAGAAGTTCCAAATACATCAGCACTATTCCCGGGGTGAAAAACATTAAGGAATAGATTTCCCAGAGAATGCAAGGCCAGACTTTCAAGTGCTCAGGGCTTGCTATTGGAGCAAGATTTTCAAAAGAATTCTGCATCTAGCAGGTCCTATTGTGATACTGGCAGCCAGATTTCAAGAGCTCTTAGCATGTGTCTGATTGTATCCTTTTGGAAGTCTACTCCAAGAAGTATAGCAGGTGCTGGTCAGGTACAAATATTAGTTTATGGCATTTGTATAAAAAGAATGACCACACACATTGCTTCTTCAGACCCAAGAGGGAGGAAAGAGGACTGAATGATTTCACATTTTTTCACTGACAGCACAATCTCTTTGGCTACAGTCTAAATCAGGGGTGGGCAAAAGCCACTCAGTGGGCCAGATACCTACCACCTGCCTAGGGCTTTGATCCAATCTGTATGGCTGTTCCAGGCCCTGCCCCTTCATACTTTGCCTAGGAGCTGGAGCTGAGCGAGCCCTTTCACCTGCTTCTATTTAAAGGGCTCGTGCTTCCCTGTGCCTGTCAGGGTGTTGGAGCTGTGAGCCCTTTCTATTTAAAGGGCTCATGCCTCCCAGGCAGCTGAATTGCCTGGCAGCCACAAGCCTGTTAAACAGGAGGAACTGAAAGGGCTCGCAGCTCCACGCTAGCCTGTTGCCTGGGAGCCAGGGACTTGCAAGCCCTTTCAACTGCTTCTATTTAAAGGGCTTGTGCCTACCGGATTACTGCTGGGCAATGCAGCTGCCCAGGAGGAATGAGCCCTTTAAATAGAAACAGTTGAAAGGGCTTGCATGTCCCTGGCTCCCAGACAAAACACTAGCAGTGAGACCGGGAGCAGTAAGCCTTTTAAATAGCAGGAATTAAAAGAGCTCCTGTCTCTGGTGAATGTGATGCCTGGGAGTCACAGGGAAGGCATGAGCCCTTCTAAATCTTGCTATTTAAAGGCTCTGCTCCTTCCGGGTGACCCACAACCACTCTAAAAATTTTGTTTGTACAGTGCCCAGAACAGGGCAGGGTTCTTGGATGGCCTCTCAGGCCTAACATAATAAATATAAGAAAATAGAAGCAGGAAATTACACCACTGCAGGGGAAAAAGCAGAAGGAAAGAAAGCAGACTGGAGTTCTTAAATCTCAGTCTGGCCACCACCCCTCCATTTGTGGTTGGGCACAAAGGGCTCTTTTCTAGCATCGATGTGGCAATAATTATTTCCAGAGGATAGTATATTAAAGAAATTAATGCATTTCTAGCTTGTTTTACTGACATCTAGCAGCTGCATGCAAGCAGAGCCGGTAACAGATGAGACTGCCCCCGGTGGGCCAGGGAGTGGTAGCCACACAACAGCTTGGGATCCTCGGTTATAGAAGGTTGGGGTCCTGCCGTCGCTGGGAAGGTGACCCGCCAGAAGCCAGCTGGGGCTGATGTAAGGCGACCCCTCGGAAGCTGTTTGCTGAGCCTAGGGTACGCGGCAGCGAGGCACGCCGCAGTAGCGGGGCCTGTGCGCTCACGAGGCACTTGCGCTGGTGCAGCTGCCCGGGGGGCAGGCCGGGAGGGGCACAAATAGGACAAAGCCCGAGCTGGGCTCTCTCCTGATCCGGCCCCCAACTTCCTGTGGGGTTGGAGCAAGGCGCTAGGGCGGAGCAGCGCTGCCAGCCCGGGCCCGGCTCCGTGCGGAGTTGTTTGCTGGGGGTGGGAGCGCCCAGCAGCCTGCCCCACGCGGCCACAGCAGCTGACTGGCTC